TCCCTTCCCTCCAGCGTGTCAGCCGCAGGGTGACAGGTTAGTCAAGCAGAACTTGCATATACCCGTGCTGTCTGGGCCTGGTCGCCTGCTTGTCCTGTGTGTGCCACATGGTGGCACTCGGGACGATCTGCTCCATAACCTTCCCCAACACCAAGGTCAGACTGACAGGCCTGTATTTCCCTCTGTCCTTCTGGCCCTTCTTGTAGATGGGTGTCACATCTGCTAACCTCCTGTCAACTGGGACTCTCCTGGTTAGCTCCCTCAGTACCTTTGGGTGGATCCCATCCAGCCCCATTGACTTGTGTGTGTCTAAGTGGTGTAGTACATCACTGACCATTTTCCCTTGGATTACAGGGCTTCGTTCTGCTCCCCATCCCTGTCTTCCAGCTCAGGAGGCTGGGCACTCAGAGAGCAACTGGTATTACTATTAGAGACTGGAGCAAAGTCGTCATTAAGTACCTCAGCCTTTTCCTCATCCTTTGTTGCTATTTACCCCCCTGCATCCAACAGAGGATGGAGATTCTCCATAGTCCTCATTTTGCTTGTATTTACAGAAGCATTTGTTATTTTATTTTATGGCAGTTGCCAGATAAAGTTCTAGCTGGACTTCTAATTATTTCCCTGCATAACTTCATGGAATCTTTGTTGTCTTCCTAAGCCTCCTGCCCCTTCTTCCATAAGCCGTAGATTTCCCTTTTCTTCCTGAGTTCCAGACAAAGCTCTGTGTAGCCAGGCCAGCCTTCTTCCTGGTGATTCGTCTTTCGGCACGTGGAGACAGCTGCTCCTGTGCCCTACAGATTTCCCTCTTGAAGAATGTCCAGCCTTCCTGGACTCCTTTGCCCTTCAGGACTGCCTCCCAAGAGACACTGTCAACCAGTGTCTTAAAGAAGTCAAAGTCTGGCCTTTAGAAACCCTAGGTGACAGTTCTACTGCCCCCTCTCCTCACTTCCCCAAGAACTGACCGCTCTATCATTTCATGATCGCTCTGCTCAAGATGGCCTCTGACTTTCACATCACCCACAAGTCCTTCTCTGTTCACAAACAGCATGTCTACCAGGGAGCCTTCCCTCATTGGCCCCTTCACCAGCTGTTTTGGGAAGTTGTCAGCCACACACCCAAGGAACCTCCTGAGCTGTCTCCTGTCTCCTGTACTATATTTCCAGCGGACATCTGGGAAGTTGAAGTCCCTCACAAGAACAAGTGGTAGTGATTGCAAGACTTCTTCCAGCTGCTTATAGAATATTTTGTCTGCTGCTTGAGCCTGATTGGGTGGTCTCTAACAGACTCCCATCGTGGCATTTGCCTTGTTGACCTTGGCTCTGATTCTTACCCATAAACACTCAACCCTGTCATCACCATCATTATGCTCAAACAATCAAAATACTGCCTAACACAGAGGGCTACCCCACTGCCTCCCCTTCCTGGCCAGCCCCTTCTGAAGAGTTTGTAGCCATCCATTGCAGCACTCCAGCTGTGCGAGTCATCCGTGTCACGTAAAGCTGAAGTACAGTATATCTGTTGTAAAGCTTTTGCAGAGCCTCCGCGTTTACATCTGTTGGAGTGACTATCTGTGGTACGTACAGCTTCCGTTTGTAAGTACTATAATATCACAGGTCTGTTTGTATTAATTCTGTTCCTTTTTGATTGTAGTTCTGTGCCTGGTTGCTTACCACATATTTTTCATGCTGTTCGTCTGGTCATACTGGAAAACAGTCTTTACGCTACCAATGAATCCTTCAAAAGAAGTAAGATAAACTTAACTTTTGTTTCTGAAACAGCCTACTTTTGTAGTATTTTGGGTAACTTAGATTCTGATCTCATATAGTTTTACGCTGTGTAGAAAAATACAGATGGTAGTTAGAGCTTCTTAACAGGAGTAAGTCAGATTGCAAACAGTCATGACCAAGACAAAAACTACACCCTCTCTCTTAAGTTTTAAAGGTTTTTAACAGATTTTTAATAATTAGATAATATTTATAATATTAAGAGGAAAAAGCCTCTCCACTTGACAAATATTATTTATTTGAACTAGTAGCTTAAATTTTTGCATGGCAACATAATACTTTTATTCAGACAAAAAAATCTGTTTCCCTGTGTTTAAGACTTACATTGCCTGTCAGCATTTGTTGTCCTCTGGACTAAAGCTCCTTCCTGTCTGTTGTGGTGTGAAGGAACTTGGGGGTTGTGGTGTGAGCACACAGCAGGTAAACTGATGCTGGGAAGCACAGCTGGCGAAGGAGGAAGGGAGCTAGTGTAGAACAGCTGCATGGAGAAGAGGGCTGAGTAGATATATACCCCAAGTCCAGCTAGTATAGAAGTGTTAAAGAAGGATGTAGTTGTCTGGGAGAACATTAAGATACAAAACCATGTTCAACCTGATCTAGCCTCATGATGATTACGTTTAGTACAATACTGAGGAGTTTTATTATTTTAAGTTCACATTCTTTCTAATATTAAAAAAAAAATACAGAAAACTGCAAATAGCCATGATGAAAATCCTCCCCATGCAGCTTGGTACAACCTGTGAAACCTTTTGGCCTCTTCAGTCCTGTCTTTGTGTAGAAACCCCACAGTTCTCGGTAGGTGGTATGAGAACACACCTGTGAGGTCAGAAAGAATCATGCTGTGGCTGCTCTGAGTTTGAAATATTCACAAAGCCAATGCTTACTTCAGCATGGTCTCACAACTCCAGCTCCTATAACTACTATGCCAACACAAAATAAATAGCTTGTGATTTCTGCTGTCTGTTGTGTGGAGGTTCTTTTCTGAGTAGCTTTCGTTTGCAAATAAGATACATAATTGTGGAAACAATTAGATAATTCATAATAATTGGCAGCTTAGGGTGTAGAGAAATGAAATAAATTAAGAACTTATTTCATTTGGCAATTACATAGCAAAATATATGCATGTATATGGTGACTGTAGCAATAATTAGAAGGGTTTTCAAATCACTGAGCTGATGCCAATAAAAGACTTCCAAAGCATTTTGACAAATCCTGAGTAATTATAGTGGGATTCCAAGCTCATCTTACTATGCTACTGGAGAACTTCAATTGAGGCATTAGAATTATTGTAGTTGAGTAACAGAAAGCAATGTGTGGTGTTTCTGTGTTCTTTGAATTTACACAATGTTGCTGGCAGAAAGTGACATCTTTGTTCTTCAGTGTTTTTTTCCTAATCTACTAAAGCAGTAAATTTAAAATTTAATGACGTTATTTTGCAATGTTAAGTTACTGTTTGGCTTCCAGTTTCTAGGATGAAGTCAGTAGTGTAAAAGGATGTATTTTCAACTTAACTGAACTGACTTAGCAACTATAGCAAATATTCATCTGAAGACTGAAAAACAGATAAAGCTTTTGCATTTGATTTCATCAATACCACAGCTGGTGCAAACCACACACCCTCTATGTTTCTTTTTAAGCTTATTTTAACTTTTTACTTGTGCAAAAAGCACTGAAATTTCAGCTGCAGTTTCTTTTTAGGAAACTTTGAGGGACTTCACTTTAGTGTGTACCATTCTGTATCTATATGTGCCATCTATATACAAGCATTGCATGAAGGTGGGAAAGAAGATGGTTTCCCATGCAGGAAGGTTTTGTAGACTTAGGGCTACTCTGAGAACCAATTAAAAATCATGGAGCTCTGTGTTTATCAAACAGGAAGCATTAAAAAAAAAAAAAAAAGGTGTTCTGAACTAAGTTTCTGCAGTGAGAACTTATGTATCCAAATATAAATCAATTCAGATGTTGGCAAGAGTGATTTCTTGCTGGGGCAAAAATGAAAGGTGACCTGAGAAACTCATACTAAACAGTTACTGTGGTTTAACCTGTCCTTGCTGAACCCCTGACAGGAGTGAACCTCCATCTTCAGCTGGAAGGTAGTGAGCTTTGCAAGAGTGGTGCCTTCTCTGTGGATGTGAGAATAGGCTCCTAACTGTACTGTATGTTTGTCTGCTTTCTTAGTTTTACATACGTCACTTTAATTAAAAAAAAAAAAAAAATCAGTATTATTGTAATGACTAGCCTTTCAGTAAATGCTTTTCAGAGGGCTTCTGTGTCTGGTATGGGTTAGAGACAGCCACTCATCCTGCCAAGTAGGGACTTCTTTTAAGAGGTGATTTTGTATCCTGTTTCTTTGATAGAGATACCGAAGACTTCAGTATCTGCCCTTTTCTAGAAGCTACAGTGACAAAGCTGACAATGTTGCTGTGTTGCAGAGAACTTTAGAGGATAAAATATTTGGACTACTTAATGTATACCATATGTCTCTTTCAGTAATTTTTATGCTCTCAGCTCTTACTAGAGCAATGCTTGTTATTACTGTTTTAGACAGTGACAGATGTTGTCCTTTTATGCAGGAAGATATGAAGATGTGGTTATTCCATCGTGCAGGACACCCATCTCTTCTTTATCTCAGCCAATATTTGAAGTAATATCACACCCTAACCCTACATGAGGAGAACAGCAGCTCTTCAGTGGCAAAAAATAAAAGGGAAAATACCAGACACAGAAAAGAAATAAAACTATCTTTTCTGCTGTTACTAGTGGTGTATTTTCTTTCAGTTAGAGACGGGCACCCATAGCTTGTATTCACTGGCTAATATTTAGTCTTACAGAAGTAAATTAACTGGTCTTTCAAGGGAATGGTAAGCTCCTGATCCTCGCTTTTGAAGAGTGTCACTTGTTACTTCTGGAAGCGTTGAATCAGTACCAAATCAGAAATAATTTTAAATTTTGTCTTCTGTTGTCATAAACTAAATTAGTGGTCCTAGGAACACTGGGTTATTTGCTGTAATACCTTGTACGTACTGCTAATACATCCTTACATAATGAATATTAATTTCTCTTTACATCTGTACAAATACTTATTCAGCTTGAAATTTGCTAACCCATAACTTTGATTTTAAAAATTATTTCAGTTTCATCTATCATATTCAGACAAGGAATCCCTAGAGAAGGAGCCTAGGGGTGAATCTCAGCAAGAAGTTTTAAGACGGGCAGCCAAGGATCTTCCTATCTATACACGGACAATGTCTGGAGGTAAATAGGTGTTCAGGAGACCACTGAAGGCAGGTGTCTTGATGTACTACTTAAACTAATTAAAAAAAAAAGATTAATTAAAGCCTTTGGATTGTAGGAAAGAACTGCTTTTCATAGTTCATAAAATAACAAAGCGAGCCAGGACCTTAACTTTAATGTAGCTTTATGCAGCTACATTTATTCAGTGGAAAGATTTTTGGAAAGTAAATTGCTGTGTAGGATTTAGGATTTTGAAGTTGATTGACAATGCCTTGCTAAATGTTTGCAAACTGACATTAACAAGTAACTTGTTTTACTAACAAGCTGCGGAAGAGGCTGTAGCAGTCTTTAACTGCATAGATTTCTTCTTTCACAGGTTAAAAAAAAATAGAAATAAATTAATCACTATCTGCATATCATGTATAGCTATATAGATCACAGTAGGAAACTGTGACTGTTCTACTTGCTGGTTGCTCAGCTGCAAGAACAAAAGCTCTTCCAAATGAAGAGTGAATCCACCTACTGATGTTTTAAGTTGTGAATGCTGCCTAGATAACCAAATCCAAGAGATCATCTCTTATAGTAAATTAAAGCTGTTAGAATAATAGCTTAAAATAGCTATATTGTTGAACAGTCTTTAAAGGTTTTCCAGTCTGCTGAGAGCTTTGTGGGTTTCATTGGTTTGTTGGTTGTTTTGCAGAGCTAAGGGGTTTGGAAGAAGAAATGCTGATTAGCAGGATTAGCAGAGATGGGAAAACTGAGCTTTTTGGGTTCACCCTGCTAGATTCAGCATTGCAAGTACTTAAAGAATGCTTCAGCATTTGTGACTGCTTCTGATCATGTTGGAATGCTGTCCTCAGGGTCCTGCTGGGCTGAGCTGAGAGGATTTACTTTGGCTCAGACTTCAGGAATCAAAATGTGTAACTAACTGTGCATTGAGATCTAATCTTGGAACTTTTTTCTTTAGCAATCAGATACTGTGACAGATGCCACCTTGTAAAACCAGATCGTTGCCATCACTGTTCTGTGTGCGACAAGTAAGAAAATACCTGACATAAGTGGTTTTCTGAATTAATGGACGTTTTGCCTAACACAGGAGCTTTTATTTTTTATGCATACATTTTTCAGGTTTAATGTTTTGGCAGATAAGGTTTTTTGCATCCTTAGATTTTTTTCAGACTTAGTTTTTATTTACTTATTTCTAAGGAAGTCTGCAACTAATTCATTTGATGGCTTTCTTGATGCCAACATGGATTATGTGGTCTTATACATTCTTTACATAGTGATTAAAAGTTACTAATATTAATAAAGAACTTTCCATAAGAATACAACCAAAAATAGCTGATAAACAAAAATTTGCTTCTTTTGTTAGAATATGAATAAAGATCACTACCCATCTCAATCTAATCATGATGTCACTTGCATCTTATCCGAGGTAATAAACTTAATATCCTGTTTTTCACTGGATAACTTGCAGGTTATTTTTATTTAAAGAAAGAAACAGCCAAGCATCCCCCATTTCTAACTGAATCTGTAAAGTAAAGTAAATTCAGCTCCATATTCCCCAGAAGTTCTAACTGCTTTCTAATTTAATCTCTTTTTTTTGGCTGTTCTTCTCTCTGACCTTTCTCAAGTTAGCTTGGAAGTCTGTATGTTTTTCCACTCTATCCCTCGGTGATTTAAATTTCTAACTTTAAGAGAAGGGGCTTTCTCAGAGCTTGATTTATTCTTAGGTTTAAGGCTCTCCCAAATACTCTTCAGCTGCTATTGCAACAAACCTTGCGTCATGTTTGTGAGGCAGAGGCAGCTTTCCACATTGTCCAGCGAAACAGCAGAGGCACTGAAAGCCTGACTGAGTTGAGGCAGAAAGAGGGTCTTGGTTGTGGTGTAGGGGATGGTGGTTGCAATGTAAGATGGGCACATTCTCACATCTGAGCAGCGTGGAGAAAAAGGGTGACCTGTGTTATTTATGAAATGTGAGTTAAATTTGCAGAATGCCATTAGTTAATATATTTTTCAGAATACCTTAATTTTGGCTTTCCCTGGTCAAAATTCACTTGCTTCAATTACGTCTGATTTTCTTGTGCATGTTTTATTAATGGAGAGTGATTAATTGCAAAGATGTTTGGATTTTTCATATAAGGTAAGTTCTTAAAAACCTCATGTGCATCTGTATATAATTATATCAAAGCAAATAATGTATTTGGAAATATATTAGTTGTATTACGAAGCATGTAATAACTGAATTAGAGCAGTTTGTAAGGCCCTGTTAGAGAATAAACAGTAGTTGAAAAACCTCTTCAGAATGAGGACCAAATCTTTAAGCTGAAGTTACAGATTGGCTTTTCTTAAGTCCCTAAGCTCTTGACAGAACAAATGTTTTGACCTTAGGTCCCCTGTGGTTTACATGTATGTAAACTGTATTTTGTGAATTTAAACAGACATCTTTGTTAATAGATTAGGTGACTAATTTTACATATGGGTGATTCTTAATCTCTGTGTGAATAATTTAAATCTAACATGTAGCTGTGCTTCTGACTTACTTTTTTTTTTCTTTTGCCGTTTGTGATACTTGGAATTCTGTTGGGATGTTTTAAGATGCATTTTGAAAATGGATCATCATTGCCCTTGGTGAGTGTGCTACTACTACTGGCTTTCTTTTCCTACTTTCTGATTTAGTAAAATAAGATCTTGAGAGGCCTGTTATGAAGGTGATGTTTCACTATTCCTAGAGTTGGATGCTTTTGTGAAGTTACTGGTCTTACAGGACCACTGGAGTTATTTACTCTATGTCCTCTTCTCCTAGGTTTGAGATGTGGAAGGAAGTTCACGTATCATTTTTCTTAAACCTTTGAGTTAGGTAACTCCATCCTTTTACAGTGAGGATGAGGTGGACTTCTGGTGAGCAGGAAAACCTCCTTAAGAATGGCACCTTTTCTTCATGGACTCTGAGTTTTGATCATTACTGTGGCTTTGTTGCATTGAATGATGTAATACTACTCTAGGTTAAAAATCAAAGGGAAGGGTTGTGCCTTGTTCCCCTTACTGAAGCTCCCATGACTGCCTGAGTGGGCTTGCTGAAAACGAGTTAGCTCTATTAGTTTTATAGGTTCTTTGTTTTCTCTCATTTTTTTTCTCCCCTCTCCCTCCCACCCTCCCTCCTTTTGCTGCCATGTCATCCTGCACAGTGGTTTTGTTTTCCTGTCGTTTCTCAGCTGCCCATGGTATCAATGGGGAGACAGGATGTGTAATTAATTTTATGTCAGTTTGGCAGGTATGTCACGGAAATAATTAAAGGTAATTGTTTAGTAAAGTCCAAGTTAAGAGGATGGAGTGAGAGATGGCAGTTCTTTGCCACATGAAACTGATCAGAAAATAAGAATGTTCTGCACTGGACAAACTAATGGTAGATGGTTCTAAGCAGCTGATTTGGCCTTTTTAAATCAAACTCCAGGGCAGAGGAGACTCTGAGGAGTCCTGAGGGTGGAAGGGGTGCTGGGCTCCTCCTGTTTGTCTTGGTCCTGTAATGTAATATATTTTAGGATTCTCCCTTCATTTTGCAGTTGCATGGTAGGTACAATTGAAGGAAATATTTAACAGTGTAGCACAGGGTTTCTTCCTACAGATACTTTTGCTTTTAAGGATCTCAGCTTATGAAACTTGATGATGCTTAATGTTAGCAGTGTGCTTCTTAATTAAAAAAAATTTTAAAAAAGAACCACACAAACATAAAATGACTGAATGCAGAACAAATTTCATATGAGAAGAGTGTTTCCTCTTTTTCACTCTTCTTTTAACTGTCCTGTAGAAACTGTAAGAAAAAAGAGCTGTCAGGCTATTCCTGACAAAATACCAATGAAAACTCCCAATATTACTATTCAGTATTATATACAGTTCTCATAAGCTTTATGGTCTGATTGGGGTTTTTTGAGTTATGCTGCCTTAGGATAGTACATGAAAATGTCCTTCATATAAACTTCAATTTCAGAATAAAAATCCATTGCATCAAACAAAAAATTATAAACTGAGAACTTAAGTGTTGCGTAAAGGGGCAGTGAAGTAATATTTCACTGGGGCATAGACTTCTAGGAAAATAAACTTAATTTTCCTCTCAGTAGCATTTGCTTATTTTACCTGTTTGAAGATCCTTTGTATCCAAACAATATAAACATGTATAGTTTGAGAGAGTATTTTCATTACTCATTTTTCTTAATCTAATAAGCAATGGGTGCAAAATGAAAAAATAGAATAGGAAAGGTACTTGAAAGATGTGTCATGCTTTTTGATGGAGAATTGTTCCTTTTGTACTTCAAGTCACAGAAGTGCACTAGAAGAAGAGATATTTTCCTGCTTCGTTTTTCCTAATTTGAGTGGACGTTCATGGTTCCTTGCTCACCCTGGAAAAAAAAAATCTATGTGGAAGTGACAAGAGGGTTCTGAAATACTGCACAGGCGCTGATCAAACTTTATAGTTTCATTTAAAGACTCATGTTCAATGGTTCTTTGGGAACTATCATATGACTACTTTGCCAACAAAAGTAAGGGTGCAAATCACTATAATGGGTGGGCTTTAGCCCCCCCAAAATCATCAGTACATCCTGCTTTGCTTTTTGTGTTGGCATATTTTGGTAGGATCAAGTTTGGTGGGAAAGAAGGGAGAAAGAACCCATGTGTTGCTTAGGGAGAGCAGGGAAACAGTAATGGGAATTACCACTGTTGTAATATTCTGCAAAATCAGCTCAGATGTCTTCTGCTTTTTGAAAGGCTTTATTTTGGCTATAACTCCTGCACTAATGGAAGTGCTGTGGTAAACAGAAATATTTAATTGCCCTGTAACTGCTCTAAAAGATTTAAGTGATACAGAAATAAAAGCATTAGTAATTTCTGTGCTAGTTCTGCTGCTACTTGTATTATGTATGCTGCAAGCAGGGATGTGATGGCTTGAGGCATCACCAAAAATATAATTCGTGTATAACAACTCCAGTAGTAACAAGGAACACCTTAGGAATCATTTGAAACATCTCTCCTTTGTCTTTTGAGTCATCTGAAAAGAATTTAGCATCTCCTTAATTCTGTTATGCATTTTGAAACTGAGCTGCATCACTTGCAGTGCCGTGGGAGCTATGTCTTTGCCTGCCATTTTCAGTAAAGGATGTCTCATCTTTTTATACTTAAAAATTGTTTTAAATATTATCTGTAATAATTATAAATTGTTAACCTGGATTGTTCTTCTGTGCGAAAGTTTGACTGCAGTAGCACACCATTTGTCAGTACCTTTGTCAGTTTTACTCTTCTTCAAAAATGTGAAATTTCAAAATCTAACCACCATTTTGGGGTTTTATGATTTGATACTACATGTTCAAATAGTACAATTACAAAATCTTGGTGTTCATTTTCTCTTCAATCTTCAATCTTCCACTAAGAATTCCGCAGTCTGGGGCTTTGTCAAGATTGAAGGGAGCAGAATAATTTATGAAAGTTTATTTTAATGTGTGTACTACATGCAGGAGTGCAAAAGAACAATGGGAAGGATAACTGTCTTTGACTCAAGAAATTTCATCTTTAGGGAATAACATTTCACTTTAATATTTCTTTTCTTTCACTCAACAGTGTCATAAAGTAAAAACTGTCCTAAACTAAAATACCGTGAAAGAAAAACACCGTTATCGTAGAAACCTTGAATCTGAAGTGCTTGAAGTCAATCACAGACTTGCTTACTTTGGCATGTTTAATGAAGAACATTTCTCTATGGAGAATTGTAAATTTGTATTCCAGTAGGAATCATGATGAGCTTAGAAGTGTATCTTCTGGGTTTTTTTAATGGAACAGCCTTTCGTGAGTCCTCTTAACTGCAGTTAATACAGATGCTTAGCTGTTGCTGCATGTTTAAATGACTGTGTCAAATTCAATGTTTAGCTAAGGTGGCATGTTTTGTAAAAGCAAAACCCAATAACAAAGCAAACAAACCCCCTGTCCACCCTGAGGATGGCTAACAGTGTACAGTGAAAGTTTATTTGGTGCTTTTTTTACTCTATTCTGGTTAGCATGCATCCTGCCATCACCATCTCCCTAAAGAAGAGAATAGTTGCAGTAACTTGTCCTGTACTGCTGGAAGCAAAAGTTGAGATTCACCACATGTTCTTATTTTTTGAGTGTTTTTTTTCCACATACAAGTGCTTTCAGGGGTGCAGTCTTGTAATGAGCTCACCTTTCTAACAGCAATATCCTGAGTTAGAGAAGGCATGTGGGTTGTTTTTTTTAACTGATATGGAAAGTTAGGGCACAGATAGCAGTGCAGCAGTAATTTTGGTTAGCTTCTTGAAGCAACCAAATAAAAGAAAGAGGAGTCTGTTAATGTATAAATTGTCAATGGGCAGCACTCCAATATTTTTCATTTGGTGGATATAATATCAGTACATGTTCAATAGAGCTCTAAAATTCATAATACTTAATGTTTCCTCTAATGGGAAGCAGCTGTGGTGCTAAATGTATGCTCATCATGTCTCTCTGATGATAGTGTATACTAGTTGTATAAATTCCTTAAAAATGGGAAACAGATAAACTTGAAGCCCATAACTAAAAATTACAAAATTAATTTTATTTTATCATTTGGATTTGTATTTACATGTTCCTAATCTCTTTTATTTGCTGTCATGTTGTCACTGATACGGAATGTTTTCTGTTCATTCAATAATAGTATGTCTCTCACCATTTTATATAAATGTAAATATTTTTAGGACTCTCCTATGAATACTTTTAAGTTTAAGAATATTACTAATAAAGTTTATGCTAATATATAGTATGATTAATGAAGGAGGATGTGGATTAAATGAGACTGCTTTTATTCTCAAAAAATTCAGTCAAGATTTGTACTCTTGGCTTGTAACTGTCGCAGTTGTTACAGTACGTCCCATGGTAATATGTGGATACTGCAACTTACCTACAAAATGTAACTGCAGTTCACATTTATACCAGACATGCTGGGAACAGGTTTCGTACCAAAAGTCAAAACTGAATTCCAGTAAACTGTTATAAGTGGTATTACCTGGTAAAGTTCTTTGGGGTTGATGTTTTGGCTAGAATTTCTACAGTAATTTGGAAGTTGAAGCTAAATACATTGCAATAACTTGAGGCTTCACAGACACAAAACAAAACTTGGTCTACCTACCAACAGAGTAAAGTAGCTTATTTCTAAATTGAATTAAGGCAAAGAATGTAACTTTCTTTACATTCCTTTTTTATTTTTACTTTTTTTTTATCAGGGTGAACAATTGTGTAGGATTCTCCAATTACAAGTTTTTTCTCCTCTTCTTGGCTTACTCTCTGCTGTATTGCCTTTTCATTGCTGCAACGGATTTACAATATTTTATCAAGTTTTGGACAGTAAGTACTCCAATATGCATACTGTCTTTAAGCATTTGAAGTTACCACTGTGCAAGTGTAAGATTCAAGGCTTTAAATTGTAATCTAGTTATCTCCTAATATGAGGTACAAACTCTTATCTAATGATCATACTCCTCTATTTTTTTTCCTGTTTGTAATTGCTTATGAAATCTCACTTATTCCTACATAATTTTGAAGCTGCATAGAACAAGTATGTGATTATTTATAATAATGTTTACAAGAGAATTTATATTATATATAGGTTTTGTTAACATCTTTTAATGCTATGCTATGAAAATGGTTCAGAGGGACATTTTCTAGTGTTTCAGTTATGTTTGTATGTGTTCACAGCTCAAGATATTATCTTCTTAGATTTGTAGTAATATAACTATTCTGAAAAGGCTGATTAAACAAGACAATTTTTGTGAAGATAAATTATTCTTCCCTAAAACACACTTTAAAGTTCGGATCCAAATTGCAGGTTCTTGTTACAAGTGTTTATACTTCGTCAAGCAGGGGCCTGTTCCTTTAATTTAGATGTCATCAACCTAACTGCATGGACATCTATACAGAGAAGGAGTATAATTCATTTACTCAGACTGTTTTTGTGTGCTACATTTGTGTTCTGCACTGAATTTGATTTGGCTGAATAGAGGTTTATTAATAATAAAATTAAAAAGTTGTTTCCCCAATTCTAACAGCACAATTATTTTTTTTTTCTTTAGAATGGCCTTCCTGATACTCAAGCCAAGTTCCACATCATGTTTTTATTCTTTGCTGCGGCTATGTTTTCTGTCAGTCTGTCTTCTCTCTTTGGGTATCACTGTTGGCTTGTCAGCAAGAATAAATCTACATTAGGTAAGTGGATTTGATGCATCTGTGTTTGACAGCAAAAAGTAAACAATAAGTGTCTATTATATATGGAAGTAATGGAAAAGGTGGGTAATCCTTTATAGGTTCCTTGGATCCTGGTTAGAAGTGTCTGGATCTGACAGCATCCAGTACTTGACTCTCCAGTTCTGATGCTCCCTAGAAATTCTGACTCTTTTCCCGTTGCCCCAAGGGGCCAAACTGTTAATGAATTTATCCTCTTCCTCCCGCTTCCTCTCATCCATAGTTTGTTAACAGAAAACAAATATTTTTTTTAAAAAAATACCTTTGTAATGAATGTTAGATGCACTAGTGTATTTGCACAAATGCTTCTTGTTTGGCATTCCCAGCCCCCAGGCCAGAGTCCTCTGATGTGGTGTCTTAGGCAGGGCAGAGGCTCCAGTGCTTTGTTACCTCTCTTGCCCCCTTCAGAACCAAAGTTCCTCTGTTCAATTTGGCTATGGTTTTGTTTAAAAGCTGTGAAAAGCATAATTGTTAATTCCAAAGCTTTGCCTGGACTGGAGGCAAAAAGAGAAAAAAGAAATACCTGGAAGGCAGGCTGATTGTGGCCCTAGTGTAGTTAGTTTTGATCAATATGAATTGAGCACAGAGAGCCAATGTCAAAGAATGATCTGATACAGAAGAACAGACTTTAAGGCAGAGTTTCTGTATTTAGTAGTAAATGAACAGGGAAATCTGAAAGGCAGTTTCACAGTTCTGAGTCTTGTCTACAACATAATCGTGGATGCATAGAAAGGATTCTGTGTTAGGAGTTGATTTTAAAACATCAAGGAAGATGGCTTACCACTTGGATGCATGTTTGTCTGCTTATAAAACTTAATAAATGGGGGTGCAGAAGATTTGAGTGCCTATTCTATACTATTTCCTGGACTGTAATAATTCCAATCTGAAAGATATTCATTAAAGTTTCTAAATCTCTAGATGTGTTTCTCTTGATAAGCAAAGTTCAGAAGCTGAATTGGAGCAAGGCAGTGAATTTATACTTTTTTCCCAATTCTCTTGGGATTTACTAATTAATCATATAGATGATTAATGGAAAACTTTGGATATATACATATAATCTAAGAAAGTTTGGTTATTTCAGTGTTTCTTTAGTGTTTGTGGGTTTCCTCAGTATTCTGAAAAATCATCTACTTAAAAATTATTGGAAAAAAAATGTACAATGTAGTTACAAACGGAGACAAATTTTACTAATGATGCCTAAATGAACAGAAATAATTAAATATTCTGTTTTAAAACTATTATTATTTTAATGCAAAACTTAATGCAAAATACACTTCTAATTCAACATTTCATGTTTTTAAAACAAATTGAATTCCATGCAGGTAATATACCATGTTTTGTGTACACTTAAGCTACACAAAGAGATCATTTTACTTTGGGCAACGACTTGATGTGTCAAACCCTGAAGATGCAGTAATTTGGCAATGAAGCCATGACAGCTTTAAGTGTGACTGTGCTTAAATCATCTGGCAGCTGTTTTTCTAAAAACCTCTCATGGGCATCTAAAAGGGTATCTCTCTTTTCCATTCCCCCTGCTTTAAAACACCTTGTAACTAATGCATACTACACGTGCAAGGTCATTTCTTCACTATGAGGGTGGTGAGACACTGGAACAGATTGCCCAGGGAAGTTGTGGATGCTCCATCACTGGATGTGTTCAAGACCAGGTTGGATGGGGCTCTGAGCCGGTGGGTGGCGTTTCTGCCCATGGCAGGGGGGTTGATCTTTAAGGTCTCTTCCAACCCAAAACCGTTCTATGAGTCTATGTTTTCTAGCAGTTCATTGCTAAAGTTTTCTGCAGAAGGAAAATCTCTGCATGGTTCCAACGTGGCTTTTGTGAGCTGTACTGTCAGGGCATAAGGACATGGTTTGCCTACTATATATAGCCAATTAAGGGAATGAAATGGCTGTCAGTCATTTGGTGGAATGGGAATGAGTTTTCTGCTTTAGGCACTTTGCAACTTTTGAGGCTGGGTGTGGCTGTCTTCTCCAGAAATTTAGATTGGATGTGCATGTCCCCATGGATGGGGTCTTTCTTTGCAACTGTAAAAACACACAATATTTTCATACCCCAGAGTGTGAGAAGCTAGTCTAACTACTAAAGTAGCTTAAGCTTTTCCTCTTTTCTGTGACTCCTTCTGTAGTAAACCCTTTGCTCAGGTTTTTCTTTCTTGAATGCTCCCTGTGGTATAGTCACTTGCTGAAATCTTCATATAACATATCATGCCTTCTTAAAAAGTGAGTTCCTCACTTCCTTGCCTTGATTAGGGAGGAGGATTGGGGGAGACTTGCACCCTCCCTCAGCCATAGGACCTCCTCTGCATGCAGTGACCATGTAGCATTGACTTGGACTGGCAAGTGGACTGCCTTTCTCAGTCCTTTGGGCAGTACAGCCTTTCCTCTTGGATGATGGTGTCATCAGTGCAATTGGCCATTGTGAAACTTAAACGTGCTGTCTTGTGAAGTTATCTAATTACTTTTTTTTTGTCTTTTAAGAGGTATTCAGAGCTCCTATATTCCGTCACAGAACAGACAAGAATGGCTTCAGCTTGGGCTTCAGCAAAAACCTAAGGCAGGTGTTTGGAGATGAGAAGAAATACTGGTTGCTGCCCGTGTTTTCCAGGTATACTCAGTTTTTAATGCTTCATTTATTAAAACAGTTGAATATTCAGGATCCACTGGGTTTGGTGGTGTGGTGGTGGGTGGTTTTAAATAAGGTACGGTAATATTCACTTTTAAAGAAACAGTTCTTCAAAGTTGTTTTTATTGTTTGTATGATGCTAATTTTAATTTTTCAGTCTAGGGGATGGTTGCTCCTTCCCAACTTGCCTTGTTAATCAGGATCCTGAGCAAGCTTCCACACCTGGTGGTCTTAATTCAACATCCAAAAAGTAATCTGCTTTTTTGTTACTCATTTCAAACAGTTGATAATGTGTTTTTTTCTGGTGCACATATAAATGGAACCATGTATAAGATACTTAGAAGTGGTAAGCAAATTAAGAGTATCCTACCAATAAATACAAGTCAGATTTTGAACAGCTAAACTGTAATTCAGATAATCCTCAGAATTATATTTAAATTTGTGGAAATAAGGTGTTTGGGTTTTTTTTTCCCTGATGTGTTTTGTCTTGGTTCAGTGGCATCCCAGGACCTGAATTTTCCACACCTGCCTTACATTCAGTATCAGCAACATTCTGTTCTACATACATATGAGGTGGTTAGTCTGTCTGCCTGTGATGTGGGTGCACTACCTTGCAAAGCTCTTGAGGGAGACTGGTTTCTTCATAGCTGGGAAAAGATGCTTCTCATAAGGGAATCCTAGACCTCAGCACTTATGCCAAAGCATGGGAAGCTACATCTTAAATGCACATTTTGTTTCTGCTAATAATAGGATGTATTTTCTTAATTCTTATCCTTCATAAAAATGGTGTCATTGAAATGGTGTCTTTAAAGTGTGAAAAGGAGCAGATGGTCCTTCAACTAAATAAATGTAATAGCTTAGTATTTTATATTGTAATTTTTTGGTAGCATTTATGTAATGAAGAGTGTGGTAAGTCTAGTAGACTTGGACATGTGACTAAGAAATTATGATGGAATCATATTGACATATTTTATTCACAAAATGCATGATGTTTCAGCTAGCTGTTTATCGACATTTTAAGTCTTACAACAGTGATCAATAGCTTACTTTAGGCAAGAGATTTTATAGATGTTCTCTCTACCATTTATCATGTTAGGTTTGGTGTAGTGGGAGAGAATATGGCTAGAGTGCATTTGGAACCGAAGTATGTGTATTAATATGTAATAGCTGTCAAAGAAATCAGAATGCTTCCCTGTTTTGTACTTGGGAGCTGGATTTTTGGATTGTGCTTCCACCTGTGACAACCAGAGTGTAACGTACGTAAGGGTAGAAGTGTAATGATCCGTCAGAAGAGAAACAAGGTAAGGTAGGGAAAACACTGCGTGTGAGAAGGTTTGTAATGTGTGGGAAGACAATGACCAAGTGCTGCAGTGTCCTGATGTTGTGTTTGCTGGCACCGCAGCGAGAGCCACCTGTTCCCTGCCAAGCTGCTGCGCGACTCCCAGAGCCACCTCCTCACTGACCCGCCGGCCTGGCCAGAGACCAGTGCCAAGGCTGAAAAGGACAAAGTGGGTAAGGGATTGAGCTGCGCTGCAATTATTTGTTTCGTAATAGACTGGTTTGGGAGGACATGGTATAAAAATGACCGAGGTCGCTTGGTTTGTATTCATGAACCAAAATTCACAAAGCTTGTTTTAAATGCGTGTTTGTGGGAAGTTTCACGAGCTGCTGAGCCCTTCCCAATTAAACCTGACCAGGAGGTTCTGAGAACACTAACCGCTGAAGGTGCCAATGGTCTTCCAGGCTGAGCCTGAGAGTTCTTTTGGTGACAAACCGCTTATACCAGAATATGGTGACACCTTGTTGCAGCTACTGAAAACCACTGTAATGGGCACAGGACAGGAACAGACCTGGTAGTAGTGGAATGACATTAAGATGGGCTGTTATTTTAAGGCCAGATTGTTTGCCAAAATAGACATGAGGCCTTTTCCTACGGAAATATTTTTTTTTTATCTTTAAGGTATGAGCAATCCTGCATTAACCATGGAAAATGAAACCTAATTTCCCTTAAAGGAAACATCTGAATATGTAAGGAAAGGTATGTTAATATTCTGTACTTAATATGTTATTCCATGATTCCTTACCACTTGAAGAATGCGTAAAAGCAAATCACCAAAGCAATTCCTTTTGGTTTTCTTCAATTTATTTTTTTTTTACCATAAGTAGTAGCACATGAATACATAGTTTTAAACTAAACCTCCTGTTTCCTCTCTAAAAAACTTTTTTTAAAATACCTATTGCTTTTAAGTAATATTGCAAAAGATTATGATCTTCTCTTTCTCTAAAAATGTATTGAAATTGTGACTATTCAAGCTGTCCAGCAAATATTTGTAAAGCTAAATTTGAAAATGAAGTTAGTTGGTAACACCGAACACAAAGATCATAGCTTCATCTGCTAAAGCAGGTGGAGGTCTATCAGATGATGAAAAAGGATTTCTTCTAATATATAAGCTATTTAGCAGCTTGTTTTGCTATGCCAGGTATTGAGTTGCATCCTAATTAATAATAAAAAAGTGCTGCCTACTGAAGGCAAGAGAGGTCTGTATGACTTCCTGAGCATTTAGTCACCTACAGTCAAAAACAGCTGATTTTTTTTTCATTTTTTGCATTGATATCTGGCAACATAGAGGTCGCAGAAGGGAGGTTTGAGAAGCAGCTAGTAAATTCTGTTATTTACATGAGGGGAAGAGACCTTAATAATTGGATTGCAGGGAACGAACACAATCGATTGTCATATTCACTTTAGCATTTGAAGATTTCTAACTCCACCAAAGCTTATGGAAATAACTATTTCGTAGTTAAATCTAGATAAAAAATTTTACTCTAACCCTAAGAATTTCAGCACACCAGAACATTTTTGATCTTTCAAGAGCATTGGAGGAGTCATTCCAACAGGATCATTTCCATCTCTGCTCTTGGAAGCACCCTTTCAGGCAGCCTGAAGAAGTGTCTCAAGTGGATTTCCTTTATTTATGTGTTACATGACTCTCGACCATGTTGTCATGTCTGTTGGGTTGTTCTTGGTTACTCCTGGAGGAAGTGGGAGGCATGGAAAGCCATCAGAAAACAGGAGTGACTGTCGGTAGACCCAGTAGCCTAGTAGCTGGACTGGGCATGGTATTGCATCATCAAAGAGGATTAAAAAAATGGTAGGTGTGCCGATACCAACAGGTGGCCTGTAGCTTGTACCAAAAAGGTCCCAGAAGTTCTGTTGGAGTCATCAGAGAAACTACAAAATTCTTGACCCTTACATTCTGGTTTTGTGGTAAGTGGTGAACAAAGACCCAGACAGTTCCAGATCTACGTACATGTACAAACTTGAGGATGGTGTGAAGCATTAAAGTGTTGAAAACATGGGTGTCAAATGAAGAGACTTGAAGAGACAAGCAAATTAAATTCAGCTGGTGTCTGTAATTTTGACTGCTCTGTGTAGTTCTTTTTAACATAATCAAAAATCTTCATTTCTAACTTGTTCAAAATGTAAAATGCTGTGCTTCTGCCTTGTTTATCTGTCATTTCAACAAAACAACAGCTTCTGAAAAAGAATAAATTACTCAACCTCAGCTTAATTTCTCAAGTCAAGCATTAGAGATAGGCTTTAAAGAAAAAGATTTTTTTGGATTATGTTATAGAAATATAATTACGTACAGAAATACAGCTAGTTTTGTCAGGTTGGAGTTCTGCTTTCTAAAGTCGTAACATTTTATTTGGTTAAGTAATATCTTTTAAAATGTAATCTTTCTTTGAAGAGTGTGTACGTTTTATTCAGACTGTCGTTCAGGCTATTCTGAATATGAAACATGGTCTGTGATTGTTCTCAAGATGCTGAAAGTGGGTTTTTTTCAAGCCATTCAGCTTGATAAACATCTCATGCTCTTCTTTGGTTGTTTTTTTGTTTTTGTTTTCGTTTTTTTTTTTTTTTCTGTTTTTCTTTTAGTCCCGTCTGAGAAAGTAACAATTAGATTTGTGTTTGCAGTCTGATTACTCCACCCCCTGGGTTTTGAGTGGTTTGTTGGTTTGGGTTGGGATTTTTTTTGTTTCTTCTTCATGTTAGTATCCATTTTGAAGTACAGCTTCTTAAAGAAAGATCACCTTCAGAGAAAGTTATGTTCCAAAGAATAAGTGTAAAGCTATGTGAGTAAGTTAGTTTTGCCTCAAACTGATGGATGCACATCTCAAAAGGGCAGTAGCTAAAGACTGAGAATCTTTGTCATGAATGTAAGTGCCAGTTTGGTGGCAGCCTTAGCTCTGAGTTGTTGCTATGTGGCACTTGACTTCATGGAACTAAAATCTAGATTACTGTGTATAAATATAGATAGATATCTAACATGCAGTTGCTGGAATAAGAGCCATTATATAAAAACTTTTTTTACTTCTTTAACTACTTCACATTAAATTTCATTACTTTATTGTCAGTATTTGACTTATATTTTTTCCTAGGGAGTGAGTAAAGATGCTGAAGTCACAACAATAAAACTATTTTCATCTTTGATGTGAAAAATACACCTTACAGATCCAGCCAGTGTTTTAGTAATTGGAATTTCTCTCCCAACTAAGGAATGTTCAATATATCAGAGGACTAATGATTGAGCATGACAGATGTTGTTGACACTAATGTAATAGAGAACGGTTTTTAATGATGTTGGGACCAGAAAATACAGTAAAAATAGCTCACTTCATTTTATAAACTGGTATCCTATGTGGTCAGTTTTTAATCTGTCATCCTGAAGTGGATTAATAACATAACTGTGAGCAGTCTTGTGTTCCTCTTCAGGGTGGATTTTCATTCAGCTGTTGTTCCCTTTCAAGCTGATAAAAATTAAGTTATTGCACCAAGTCTCAATATTCTTCAATTCTAATAATGTATTTTGTTATTGATGTTCTGTTCCAGTTCAAGAAAAAGCTGTTGTTGGAAGGAAGATGGATTTCTTCCCAATATCAGCCCTGTTGGCCAGCTGCTCCTGTCTGCTCCTGTGTGGATGTGCTCAGAAAACAAACTGACAGATGATTAGCTGTCTCCCTGTCACTGCTTAAAACATAAAACTAAACATACTACTTCTGAACCATACAAAGAATGTTTCAACTTAAAATTACTGGTTTCAAATGGTGAAGGATGATTCTAAGTATTAGGAAAAAAGTTTGAGTTTACAATTGTAAAAACTCAATGGCTGGTTTTACTTTGCTATTCAGCACAAGAAAAATGGGACCTCCTTAAGTATCAGTCCATGTTCTTACCTTCGTTTTGAAAATTCATCTGTTAATTCAAATTGCTGTAAGTAGTTGACTTTAAAATCAAATTTCTGCACTACTGGCTTTAAGAACTGGGAGAAGAGCCAGTGTTGATTATGAATAATTTAGTGGCTTGGTGGAGTGTATTTTTTTTTTTGAGCGCTTGATAAGCAACTTTTGAAGATAAGGAGGCCCAAGTGAAGTGTCTGAATATTTTTTGGAACATTTTTGGAAAATGTTATTGCAGAAGCTCCTTAGAGCTGCACTACTAATAGTCTGAAAAGTCATGGAGGAGAAAAAAAAATTCCTTTGTTAATTGAATGCTACAGTGGATCACTGGTTTTGGAGCGATAAAAAGCCTGTGCTCAGGTGGAATAATACAGAACTGAAGCTGCCAGCTGGGGATTTTGATGGGAGTTGGACAGGACAGTGCTACGAAATGGGGATTTTGTTGTCCCATTTGGACCCATTAACCTTTTCAAGAAATGGATGTTGGCACTTACTTTGATCCAAAAGGCTTTTGACCAACCTGTGTTCCTGAGGGTCACTGTCTTTCAAAACCCTATTTTCTTATTAATCAGCAGTTGTCTCAGATTTCTTTTTGCACTTGTGCTTTAAGACACTGCCTTTAAGTGTGAAACGTAACAAACATCATGTACAATCAAGGAGACTTACTGTTATAACTTGCATTTACAGGACAACATCTATTTGTTTGCAACACCAAACAGCCAAGCTGCTGCACATAGGAACCCCCTCCAATTAAGATAGGAGCTAGCAACTTTGTTAGGATCAGAGTTTAGGGGCCAGATAACAAAAGAGGCATTAGCAACTTTAAAAGTCAAGGATGTTTCAGCAACATAAACTTAAATGTCTTGTGCCTTTTATATACACAACATTTATGGAATCGTGTTTACATTTAAATGCAAATTGTTATTCTGAAAAGGACTTTAGGAGGAACTTAGTTATGCTTTGAGGTGGCTAGATAAAAAGACTAGTCAAAAACAAGAAAAGTGAAAAGCTCTCAGATTAAACTCAGTTCTGTTACCAAACCTCAGTCACTCGGCAGGTTGGTTCCCAGTGTAAAGATGCCGGTTGTTTGTCTAGGAAGCTGGCAGCAGGACTAAGTGACAGATTTCTGAAAGCAAAAATCTTCTCATTAACTCATCTACAGGCAGGTAACTCTAAACTTTGTCCTTCCTGGGTTTACAACTTAAGTGACAGCTATTGGAGCACAAATGTGGCTTTTTTTCTAGTAAGGGAAAATGTATGTATTTTACCAGCCTGAAAACATCTGTTTCTTGCCAGAAGTGCCAGAGTGTGGATCCCTTGATGTAGAATGCCATTTTTAAAACTAGCATGAAGGTAGCATACAGTTTACATGATAACTGCAGACACCTAGCAACCAAAAGTTTTTTGCAGCTATTTATTCAGTGTTGTTCTGTCAGCTTACCTCCTATTGGTGTTTGTTTAAAGGCTAACTTGTCAAGGGATAAGGGGGAGAGGAAAAAAAAAATCTATTTTTTAAAACTTCAGGTTCTGTTACCTGTGTAGTCTTGGTTTTTTTTACGCAGTTAGTCACAGGGTGGTTTGTCATGGAGCATGCATTAGAGAGTACTGAGAAAAAAGTTGAAATTCAGCTTCAGTGTAACTTGCTCCATATTTTTACATAAGGACAAATTACAGATTTCTTCCCCAGAAAACTCAGAAATGGATCTCATCACAGATGCCAGCCTCCCTGACTATGTCCAGGGCTCTGAGAGCTCTCAGCAAGGCTGGGGATCAGTGTAGAGAAAGGACAGGGATAAGGAACCAAGAAATGCTTGGCTTCTCTGGAAAAAGCCCAATATTGTGAAAGCACAATAGCCCTAAATAATCTGCAGCTTCGATGTAGCCCGAGGCTGTCCCTGCAGCAGAAAACTGATGGAGGCGTGAGAGATAGACACTGATGAAGGGAGAAGGTAGAGAGAAATTGCAGTAGCTCAGAGGTGAAAGTTGAGCAGATTTGAAGCAGAGGGCTGTAGCTACACCTGCTCTCAGGATGGATATGAGTCGTGTCTCTGTGAAGAGCACTGTCAGCAGGCTTTTGGGGGTTCCTGGCAGGTCTCACTGTGCAGAACATGGACAAGAGTGAGCTAGTTGTGCTTTAAAGTGTAATATCTGATATGACTATATCCTTGGCTTTAAGCCCTCTAATACTCTATACAGCTAAGTGAAAATGGTCTTTTGACATGTTGAGCATTGATGCTGTTACAATGCACATGGGAGAATTTGAGAGGAGGTATGGGGGGAAGCAAGGACACCATGCTCTTTGTCCACTTATACCAATTCTCCTTTATATTCTTGCTAGGCACTTTACTGCAGCCTTTTGTGTAACTTCTGTATTTTTTTTTTAAGACCGCTTTTTACGTACTGTACCGTTACTAATCTACTTTTTTGCTAAAAAGAAAATTATAGCCCTGATATTTGTCTAGCAGTATGACTGCATTTGAAGCTTCAGTGGAAGCTGGACAAGTTCTACACTCCTCAGATGGGCCTTAGTCCCTAAGGACAACAGAGTTAAATGTATTTTGTATATATGTAAACAGTCGTATGAATCACAGCCCCCACATACATAGGAAGCTTCCTTAATTTGTTAGACTAGAACAAATCCAATACACGATTGCACCAGAAGTGGTTCTCACATTCTGTGTCAGTTGATGTACTGGTGATGGAGCACACAAGTCTTCAGAGAACAATTTTTATTAAGAAAACGGAACACCTCCATGTTGGTGAGCTCCTCCCACTGAGCCATTAGACACAGCTGCTGCCGTGCACTTTAATTCTTTAACTGGAGAGGGGAAAAAACTGTGCTGTTTAAGTTGCAGATGGAAAGTTCTTTAGTATCCTACAACTGTGGGCAGATAATTAATGAAACACTGCTAATTATTTTTAGCCGTTCAAGTACTTGAAATCTGGGTCTTCAATCAAGACTTGAGTAAGGGTGCAGGAAGCAAGTCGGGTTTAGCACCTGGTATGGGGTAGCTGTTAATCATTAGTTGGACTGAGAGTTCTTGCCCTGATTCAGTTGAGTGGTGGGCTGGAGTGGCAGTGGGAGTATACATCTACATTAAATTTTGTGTATAAATTTGCTACTTGTTATTGTATTGCTCAAATAAATGCTTCATGTTCAGAAGGTAATGCGGGAATACGTCACTAGCACAC